CCTTGGCAGTCTCAGGGCGGGAGAGGCGGGCCGAGCGGTCCTGACGAGACGGCGTTGGGAAAAGGCCGGCGTCGCCTTCTGCTTGTTCCGCGCGGAGCCTGGCGCCTGTCTTTTCCCCGGTCGTCCCTTCTTCCCGGCACAACTTAAGCAGGCCTTCTAACGGGTCCGTAGCACCCTGCATGATTTTGCACATTCGTCTTTTGGGGGGCCAGTGCCACGTTGGGCCCTTCCTTCTTGTTTTCGCTCTGTGTCTGTGTGTACCGGGAGCAGCCCGGCGGGACGTCCCTCTGCGTCTTCCCGTGTCATGTGTCGTCAGTATTGCCTGCTGCTTTGCACTTAGAAAGCTCGGGAAAATATAAGCCCCGCTGTCTTAAACTGTCCTAGACTCTCCTGGAATCAGGCTTCTCTTTTCTTGAAATTGTTTTTGAAGCCATCTTCCTGGAGTCCAGGCCGTACTTCTGACTCTGGCAGTGCCCATCCCTGGCACCCACAATTACACTATTACCCAGCGTCGTTAAAGCCTCTTTAGGAAGCTAACTTTACAATCTGGAGAGAGTCGCCTCATACATCCAGGTCTTGTCTGTAAAACATGGCCTTTCAACAGCAGTTGGAGTTCCAGCCTGGCCTTCAGCTGGCTTTCGTGGCTGGGCGATGACCTGCCACCTCAGGCTTCTTCTGTGTCTGAGGCTGCAGACAAGGTGTAGGGAGGACTCACAGTGGGGGTTCCAGCCAGAGGCGCTGAATGGGTGAGGCAGGCCCTGCTCCACGCTGGGCTTGCTCCGCAGGCCCAGAGTCTTCCACGCCTCATTGGTGGAATAATGCAGGCTCTCCTGACACCGCTGCTGCTGTTGGTGGTTTTATTACAACGGTGTGCAGTAGCCACGCCCCGGCTGCTGACAGAGTGTGACACTGGTGCGTGGCTCCCTAACCTGTGCTGCTTCTGCCGTGTGACCCTGTCTTGGGCAGAGACGGTAACTGCCTCCGTTTCACAGATGAGCACAGGCAAGGAGTGGTTGAAGACACGCTGCGCCAATGGCAGTGGGAAAGCTGGCATTCAAACCTAGGAACCCGGGCCAGCTGGCTCTAGGCTCACAGCCCTCCCCGCCGAGCCCACTGCCTGGGCCCCCGAAGGAACCTGCCCCCTGAGCCCTGCTTCCTGACAACTCCGCTCTCCAGGGCGGATGCTCCAGCCCATAGGCTCCTAGCCCTGCACGTGCTGTCCTCCACTTTCTCTGAGGGGCTCTGCTGTAGTGTGTGCTTGCTTTGTGGTCAACATAACCTCTCTGTTTACCCATCTCAGGTGACACCAAGTTGAAAACCGTCCAGGGTGTCGTGACAAGGTACTGCAGCGATTATGGCATGATCGATGACTTGATCTACTTCTCTAGTGAGGCTGTGACTAGCAAAGTTCTTCTAAACGTTGGACAGGAAGTTATTGCGGTTGTGGAAGAAAATAAAGTGTCGAATGGACCGAAAGCGATCCGGGTAAGGCCTGAGTTCATTCAGAAGTCTCCCTACCCCACGGGCTTCATGCTGTCGTCTCCCTGTTGAGTTATCCTCTCAGAGGCAACCTCTGGTTTCATGCCACGGAGAAAAACTGTTACCATTTCTATATCTGTCCTTCTAGTCTTTTAAACAATTATTATTAAAAATGGTAATTATTGGACCCTTTGTCATCCAGTTAGCAAACATAATTAGTGGGCTCTATTGTTCAGCAGCTTTTTCATTAAGAAAATAGTGTTTTATACTCTAATTTCTTGGAAGTAGAACTGTTAGTCAAAAGGTATGCACACTTGACATTTCAATGATTATCAACAAATTATCTTTCTATAACATCGTAATAATTATACTTTCAGGAGCAGGAGGAGAGACTGCCTATCACCCAGTGTTGGCAAGGATGCAGATATTATCGATCTTTGAAATCTTTGCCAATCTAATACGTGAAAAATGATCTTATAATTTTAATTTGCATGTAAGCTTTAAAGTAGATTAAGTTTTCACATTTTTTCTGTGCGTTATTTTCATGTCCTTTATGCATTCTTTTCATTGGAGTCAGTTTTCTTTAAATTAAACTTTGTATATTATGGAAGTTAGAGCTTTTTATGGAAAATTATATGAAACTATTGCAGATACTTCCCCCAAGACCATCTTTTGACTTTGTTTCGTCGTTTTATTTCACATAGTTAAACGTGTCTGTCTCTTCCACGTGGCTTTTTGGGCCTTATGAGAATCCTTAGGGAGGCTTACACCGCTTCTCATTACAGACATGCATCCAGGTTTTCCTCTGAAAATTGCTTACTGACATTTAAGTATGTAAGCTACCTGGGTTTATTGGCTGTACAGATGGAAAGAAGGAACCAGATATTTCTTTCTGAGTAGTCTGCTTTTTTCCTAATAAGTAGAAAGATTTGATTCTCATACAGCGGAATCCCACATGCCCAGGACCCTGCCTGGACCCTGTTGATTCTTATGCCTGCACCCGGCCCCCAGGGGCACGGTTGTGTCCACAGGCAGCGCTGGTTTCCCTCTTACTGTTCTTTGTGGATGAGGTTCTCTGGCCTCTCCACTCACTCTGGGTAAGGTTAGAGTCATTCTGCTGTGTCTTCTCCTGGCCTCACACCCTACTGGCCAGCACTGAGTTTGCGGATCCATTTAGGCAGGTGACATGTGGATCACATTCAGTCTTCAGCTGCAAACTGGCCACTTACATAAGCCTTCCTTCAGGTTCTTTTGTAGGTCAGTAGTTTTCACTTAGGTTCTGCAAATTCTTTTTTAAGTTTATTTTCAAGAATTTTAACATTTTTGTTCCATTATCAATATAATTTGCTTTGTATGTCCTTTTTTAAAAATTGAAGTATAGTAGTTTACAATGTTGCATCAATTTCTGGTGTACAGCATAATGTTTCAGTTATATATATATGCAAGTATTCCTATTCATGTTCTTTTTTATTATAGGTTACTGCAAGATACTGAGTACAGTTCCCTGATAGTTGTGGAATCAGCTCATTTGCCCACCTCTGGATTTATTTGCTTATTTTTTATTTAGCTTTTTTGTTCTTGTAAAATATAATATAACAATATAAAATTTACCACTTGAACCATTTTTAATTTTTACTGCCGTCCGGTGGCATTAAGTGTGTTCATGTTGTTGTACACCCACACCACTGTCTATTTTCACAACTTTTTCATCATCTCAAAGACAAACTCTGTATTCATCAAATAGTAATTCACAGTTCAACTTTCTGTCTCTATAAATTTGACTGTTCTCAATTCCTCATGTAAGTGGAGTCATACAGTATTGGTCCTTTTATGTCTGTCTTATGGACTTACCATAATATCTTCAAGGCTTATCCACGTAACGTGTATCAGAACTTCATTCTGTTTATGGCTAGATAATATTCCATTGTATGTATAGACTGCATTTGATTTCTCCACTTATCTGTTGATGGACACTTGGGTTGTTTCTGCCTTTCAGCTGTTGTGGGTAATGCTGCTGTGAGCACGTACCTTTTTGGGTCCTGGTTTTCAGTTCTTTTGGGTCTGTACCTTGGAGTGGAATTGTGGGGCTAAATATATTTATATAAATTTATATAGAGATATATAGCCCTATATTTAACTTTCTGAGGAACTGCCAGATTTTCCCCAGTGGTTGTACCATTTTACATTCCCACCAGCAGCTCAAGGCTTCCAGTTTCTCCACATCTCAGCAATGCGAGTTATTTTGCATTTTTTGACAGTAGCCACCCTAGTGGATGTGAGGTGGTGTCTTACTGTGCTTTGATTTGCATTTCCCTCAGGATTAGTGGTGTTGAGCATCTTATCATGTGCTTGTTGGTCACTTACCTGTCTTCTTTGGAGAAATGTCTATTCAGTTCCTTTGCCTACATTTTTTTATTGAAGTATGGTGGATTTACAGTGGTGTGTTAGTTTCTGGTATGCAACATAGTGATTCAGTTACAGATATAAATTCTTTTCCATATTCGTTTTCATTATAGCTTATTACAAGCTATTGAAAACAGTTCCCTTCGCTTATATTTTGATCAGGCTGTTTATTTTCTCGTTGAGTTGTAGAAGTTTGTTATATGTTCTGGATATTAATCCCTTACCAGACACGTGATTCACAAATATTTCCTCGCATGCTCTGGTTTGTCTTTTCACTTCTTGATAGTATCCTTTGATGCACAGAAGTTTTAAACTTTGAAGTCCAGTTTGTCTTTTTTAAGCCTGTGCCTTTGATGTCACACTTTAGAAAATCGTTGACTAATCCAAGATTGTGAAGATTTTCACCTGTGCTTTCTTCTAATAATTTTATAGTTTTAGCTCTTAAATTTAAGTCTTTGACCCATTTTGAGTTAATTTTTGAATATGGTATTGGCTGAGGGTTTGACTTCATTCTTTTGCATATTGAGATCCACTTTTCCCAGAACCATGTTTTGAGAAGACTGTACAACAGGGAAAAAAAACCTTTTCCCCATTGAATGGTCTTGGCACCTATGTTGAAAATCATTTGACTATATATGTGAAGGTTTATTTCTGGTTTCTTTATTCTGTTTCATTGGCATTTTGTCTGTCTTTACACTCTTTTGATTACTACAGCTTTGTAGTAAGTTCTAAATCAAAAAGTGTGAGTCCTAAGTAACAAATGTTGGTGAGGGTGTGGAGAAAAGGGAGCCCTCGTGCGCTGTGAGTGGGAATATAAACTGGTGCAGCCACTGTGGAAAACGGTGTGGAGGTTTCTCAGAAACCTAAAAATAGAGCTACCATATGACCCAGCAACTCCACTCCTGGGTATATATCTGAAAAAAACAAAACCACTAATTCAAAAAGATACACACACACAACATTCATAACAGCATTATTTACAGTCTCTAAGATACAGAAGCAGCCTAAGTGTTCATCAGCAGATGAATGGAAAAGAAAATGTGGCATATATTTACAATGGAATACTTCTCAGCCATAAAAAGAATGAAATTTTGCCATTTGCAGCCACTTGGATGGACTTGGAAGGCATTATGCTAAGTGAAAGAAGTCAGACAGAGAGACTGTGTATAATGTCACTTACATGCGGATTCTTAAAAAGTACAACACACTAGGGAATATAAAAAAAGAAGTAGACTTATGGAGAACAAACTAGTGGTTACCAGTGAGGAGAGGGAAGGGGTGAGGGGGAACATGGGTAGGGGATTAAGAGGTATAAACTATTAGGTATAAAATAAGCTACAAGGATATATTGTATAACATGGGGAATAGAGCCAGTATTTTATAATAACCGTAAATGGAGTATAACCATTAAAAATTGTGAATCACTGTATTTTACACTTACAATTTATATAATGTTATACGTAAACTATACATCAATTTGAAAAAGAATGATGGTGAATTCATAGGCATTTTTTATATGTTGACTTTGTTTCCTGCAAACTTGCTAAATGCACTTATTAATTCTGGTAGCTTTTATTATAAATTCTGTAGCATTTTCTACATAGAAAATTGTCTTGTCTGCAAATAAATCTAGGTGTGCTTCCCCCCTCAAAAAAAAATGTGAGTCCTCCAACTTTGCTCTTCTTTTTCAAGACCGTTTCAGCTGTTTAGGGTGCCTTGAGATTCCATATGAGTTTTAGGATTGGGTTTTTCTATCTCTGTAAATCATCACTGGGATTTTGGTGGAGACTGCATTGAATCCAAAGATTGCTTGGATAATAATGATGTCTTGATGTTAATCCATGAACATGGGATGTATTTCCATTTATTTGTCTTCTCTAACTTGTTTCAGCCACATTTTATAGTTTTCAGTATACAAGTCTTCCACCTCATTCATTAAATTTATTTCTAAGTATTTTAGTCTTTTTGATGCTATCGTAGATGGAATTGTTTTCTCAGTTTACTTTTTTGGATTGTTCATTGCAAGTGTGTAAAAATACAGTTGATTTTTGTGTGTTGATTTTGTATCCTGGAACTTTGCTGAATTCATTTATTAGTTCTAACAGGTTTTGTGTGTATGTGTGAATTCTTTTAGCATTTTCTATATATAAGATCATGCCATCTGAAAATAGATGATTTTACTTCTTCCTTTCCAATTTGGGTATTCCAGTTTGTATACATTTAAATTTTCTTTTTCTTACCTAACTGCTCTGACGAGGACTTCCAGTGTTATTTTGAACAGAAGTGGTGAGAGCAGGCATCCTTGCCTTGTTCCTGATCCTAAGCGGAAAGCTTTCAGTCTCACCACTGAGTGTGATGTGAGCTGTGGGTTTTTCATACGTGGCCTTTATCCTGTTGAGGAAGTTCCCTTTTTTTCCTAGTTGATTGAGTGTTTTTATCATGAAAGGCTGTTGAGTTTTGTCAGATACCTTTTCTGCATCAACTAAGATGATTGTATGTAAATTTTCCCTTCATTCTATCAATGTGGTGCATCGTATTGATTGATTTTCTCACGTTGAGCCTTTACGTTATGGAGTAAACCTCCTTGTTCGTGATGTGGAACCCCTGTACTACGCAGCTGCGTTCAGTTTGCCAGTATTTCGTTGAGGGTTTTTGCATCAGTGTTCACAAAGGGCATCGGCTGGTAGTTTGCATTTCTTTTTTTAAATTGTGTTGAATTATTTTGTTTTGGTAGGGGGCAGGTAATTAGGTCTGTTTATTTTTAGGGGAGGTACAGGGGATGGAACTCAGGACCTCGTGCAGGCTAAGCGTGCACTCTACCGCTTGAGCTACACCCTCCCCACCAGTTTGTGTTTCTTGTAGTCCTCTGCTTATGTCTTAAGTAGCGGTTTGTCTGCCTTGCAGGTAGAAGCTGTCTCGGATAAATGGGAAGATGACAGCAAAAACCACAGCCCAGGGCTGTCCGACTCCAGCCCCCGGGTGCTGATTGGCTGCGTGACCTCACTGAGGGATGGCGCTGGCTACATCAGCCAGACCACATACTTCTCCCGGGAGAGCGTTTGTGAAGGTGCGCTGGGCGGGTCTCCGCCTCACATTTCAAATTAGGTTTTGTGGGTTTTAAAAATGTCCATGGTTAGATTTGAGATGGCTGTGCGCATCCTCGAAAGGGCCACACCTGGGGTCACAGCTGGGTGCGCTTCATCTGTGAGGAGCCTTGGGCGGAGCAAAGGCTCCTGGCGCGGGGTGGACGAGCCGCCCTTTGTCATGTGTCCATTTGTTGGATGCAGCCACGAAGTTCTGGGTCACTGTTCCTTTCTCATAATTAGTACTACTAATCTAAAACAATAGTGTTATACAGAGGTCTTATTATTTTTTGAGTACTTCAGATGTTTTAAAGCAGGAGTTGGGGGATAATCTTGTATGTTTCCAAGAGTACAGGTCCATTTTTAATTGCATTTAATTTTAGCTGATCGAAGATTTTGTTTTTATACCTAAAGAAACACTTTGTCAGCATCACTTAACTGAGTTTGACTGAACAACTGTGTATTGTGTGCCTGCTGTCTGCATTGGTAGGTGGGGGCAGGGCAGGGGGAGACCGAGATGCGTGAGCCCAGTGCTGCCCCCTGCGGGGAACCAGACCTAGATGTGCTCTGTCTTCGGGCAGGGCTTAGAAGGGCTTCCTGGGGGCGGTGCTGGCACGGGTGCTGGCTGCACAGCCTGCTGGGCTGCATGTGCAGAAAGGGGTCAGAGCAGGCTTCTCTGCCACCCTGACAGCCAGGAGCCCAGGTATAGGAGGGCTGTCACCGTGAGCTCGGCCCACCGGCCAGCTTGCTGTTTTACGTTTCTTGGATGTAAAAGCCAGGACTCTGACCTTGACCGCTAATCCTGGGAGTTCCCAGGATGAGAATGACATGTGGCTGTCTGGGATTATAAACCTCTGTTCCATCAGAGAAGCCCTCAGTTTTGGAGAAATTGATCCTGTGACTGTCCAGCTCCAAGGCAGCTCATGGGCCCCTGTAGCCATGTGAGCAGGGTGTCACTCCCGAACACTGCTGGAATGTGCAGAAAGCCCACCCTGAGGACGGGCACCCGCAGCACAGGTGGAGGGCTCTCCCAGCGCGGCCCAGTCCTCTCCAGCCCTTAGAGTTGTGTTGTTCAAAACCTATTTGCAAAACTAAAATTCCTTCTAGAAAAAAGAAAAATGATACCTGGGTACATTGAAGCATATTAAAAGAGTTTAGTATTGATTATTCAGTTATTCTTGGTACATAAAACAATCTAATTTCTTAGCATCCCTAATCCCACGTCACTGGTATTGTTCTGAAGAACGTACATTTTTCAATATGATCTTACTTTCATTTTTTTCATACAGTGGCCTTGAAAGCTGCATTTTATGGTTAATGAAGTTGTAACTGTAGGTGCCTTTGTTTGGCACTCCCTGTAGGCTACAGTATAATATTTTTAATTGAGGAAATACTAGTTTGTGTGTGGGTGGTTTCCTGTCTTTACTGATGAGCTTTTCCATTTCATAATTTTCTCGTTTCTAGTATGGCCTTTTCTCTTCTTCCTAGAGAAGTTCCTTTAGTGTTTCTTGTACAGCTGGTTTGCTGCTGCTGAATTCTTTTAGCTTTTGCTTAGATATCTGTGAAGCTTTTGATTTGTCAAATCTGAACAAGAGCCTTGCTGGGTAGAGTGTTCTTGGCTGCTATTCCTTTCCATCACTTTAAATATGTGGTGCCCTCCCTTGTGGCCCGCAGCGTTTCTGCTGAAGAATCAGCTGATAACTTTATGGGAGTCCCCTGTATGCTATTTGCCACTTTTCTCCTGCTGCTTTTAGTCAAGGAAGTACTAGTAAGCTCAGAGCAAATTTTGCCAAGTGTAGATATTCACAAGTCTGTGTTTTTTCCCAGATTTGTATAACTGAAATGTATAACTTTTTCAGCCCAAATGTTTTCTCTCTTTTTTTTTTTGCCTGTGAGTACAGAGGTGTTAAATATTTTCATAAACTAAAACCTATCAAATAAATCATCTCTGGGATTTTTCTTTTCTAGAAATTTGTTTTTTTGGAATCTTACACCAAACTTGGAGGCTGTAAATTTGTAGGCCTTGTCAATTTCATGCATTCCATCACTGAGTATCAGTTTATCCAACTAAACGTAAGGGCATGAGGGCCTCCCTGAAAGGCTCCTCACACAGATGGGCCGATGTCGAGTCCCATCCTAGGAGCTGAGCTTTGAGCCACGTCCACGCGCAGGGTCTTCTTGCTCTGCCGCCTCCATTGCTTTTGTGGGGGAGTCAGGGTCACTGTTGCTGTATTTTCAGTAACTGCAATTCACAAAAGGCTTCAAAGCTGAACATTTTTTGCTTCCACATCTACTGAATACAACGATTAAATATTTCCAACTGATTTTGAACAAAATGTAACCAAAATTTAGAGGTCTTGCTTAAAAACATTTAAAGGCGCACCATTGCTGATTTACAGAGTGCTTCTTCAAAGGTTCAAATGTTTGTGAAATTCAGACTGCGGGGCCGCCAAGAAAACCAGGCTGCCAGGTCCTGTGGTTTTGTTTGTTTTGCCACAGTCCTGTAATTGGGTCACCTTTGTGCACCAGTCCGTTTTGACCGCTGCAGTGGCGGCCTGCTGGAGGCACAGCGCGCAGAGGCAGACAGGACTGGTCTGCTCTGCGGCTCCCAGTGTGTCTGCCCCACGGGTTCCTGGCAACATACGCAGGGGTCTTGTTTTATTATGGTGCTTTGTTCCAGCAAAACTTGTGTTCGTGTAAAATTACGTGAAAACCTGATTTTATCTTCAGTGTTGGATTTTTAACTGATTTGTAGCATTCACAATAACTTGAGATATTTCTCCTTCAACAGAATAATCTTCCAGAATCTTTGAGTCCATGATTCTGATGGAGGGGAAAAATCCAACTGGTTTTTGAATTTGCTTCACTATTTTTCTCTCTAAAGTAACTGATTCACTTTAGAAGAACTAGAAGAACTATTGCTTCACTTTTTTTTTTAGGTGATTTTTGATTAGTTTATTTCTTTTTTTAAACTTTTTTTTCTGAGTTATAGTCATTTTACAATGTTGTGTCAAGTTCCGGTGTAGAGCACAATTTTTCATTTATACATGAGCATGCATATATTCATTGTCATGTTATTTTTTCACTGTGAGCTACCACCAGATCTTGTATATATTTCTCTGTGCTATAGCATATAATCTTGTTTATCTATTCTACATATGCCTGTCAGTATCTACAAATTTTGAACTCCCAGTCTGTCCCTTCCCACCCCACCCTTGGTAACACCAAGTTTGTATTCTATGTCTGTGAGTCTGTTTCTGTTTTGTATTTATGTTCTTTTTTTTTTTTTAGTATTCCTCATATGAGCGATCTCATATGGTATTTTTCTTTCTCTTTCTGGCTTACTTCAGTTAGAATGACATTCTCCAGGAACATCCATGTTGCTGCAAATGGCGTTATGTTGTCATTTTTATGGCTGAATAGTATTCCATTGTGTAAATATACCACATCTTCTTTATCCAGTCATCCGTTGATGGACATTTAGGCTGTTTCCATGTCTTGGCTATTGTAAACAGTGCTGTTATGAACATTGGGGTGCAGGTGTC